TTAGCTGTATATAAATTAATAATGTATTTATTTGGACGTCTGCAGTGTTTTCACATCCAAATGTTGCACTTTGTGGCCATGCGATTGCACAGTTCAGAAGCCCCTCCATTGTTAAATTAGCAAATACTGAAGGAATGAATTCATGTTTGTGGCAACTGAGTCAGTTTAGGGATTCAAGATTTGATTTTGGAGATAAATTGAAGAGTTATATCCCTCGTATCCAACTATCTTATCCTCAAAAAGTGAAATACTTTGAGTATAAAATCAATTACTATAGCCTGATATTTATAAATTCTTCATTTTTTCTTACATCACAAAATTAATCTTTATCCAATATTTTTGCCTTTGATTTACACAAGTGCAAAATCATTCATAAACCCATCAGATTGAGATTTAAAGTGTTGTTTAAATTAGTTTCACTATCTTCTACTCTTTTAGTTAAATAAATGTATCCAGTTTTAGATTTTGAACCTAAATGTGAGTTTGTGAAAGATAAACTTACAGTAAGTTGTTAACTTTTATTAATTCAGTCAAACCTCCAAGAGTTGAATAAACTAGAGTTTTTAGGTTAGCACTTAAAAAACTGAAAGAGGAGAAAGACAGGAGTGGGAACTATTTCCCAGAATGCTTAGCGGCATGTTTTTGTCTCCTGAGATGGAAGTGCGTCACATTGATCTGACTTTTGTGTTTTATTAAGGCAATGTTCATTTTAATGCAATTCTCAGTTAGCAAAGCTTGAGGATAATGTCCTGTTCACACTAAATGTTTCTGAGCTGAATTCATTGGGATGTTTAATAAAATTCATTATCAGATCAGAAATTTTGTTCCTGCAGTTTGAAACAAGAATTTAAATTATGTTAAAGTAAAATAAATATTTGAACTTAATATTGTGAGTAAAATAATTGAGAAATGTGGCTCTTTAACTTGATGAGAGCAATTTGTTTCATTGCATCTTGTGAAATAATTATTTGGTTTAAATTGCAGCATTAAGTTAAAACTCAATTCAAGAGGAATGAAGTTAAAAAACGATGTTTAAACAACTCGTCTCTTGTTGTTAAATCGACTTCATAAACTTTAATTTCTGAGTTAAAACCAAAACAATTTTCCTGTTGACTAAAATTAAATTTTCCAGGCAGCAGGTGGAGTTTTGTTTTCTACTTAAACCACCAGTGAATGTTTTACAGTGCAGTGAGAAAACATTGTTTTACTTTCTGCAGGCAGAAATTTACCCTCCCAAATGTTCGTTTATTACATATTCAAATTTATTCTGGTGCATAGAACCACATGGGCGAGGCTCTGGGTGTCACCTCGTTGCTTTTGTTAACCACACAATGTGTTAGCCATCAGTACATGCATATCCTGTGACATCACCTCCAGAGCCTTTTTAAACATGGAGTCTGACTGCTGTATTTTGACAAGTCTGCTTTCTGAAGCACCGCCAGGGCTTTTCCAAGGTTGTGTTTTGGTCTTTGAATCTTTTACACATCACGGGATGCGCAGTGTCCCACGAAAGTTTGACTCGATGGTTGTGTTTCCTGAATGTGAATTTCAAAAGGACACATCCGAGGATCACGAAGATGATAGAATATTCTCCGCAGAGGAACCATTTTTCAAACACCAGCAATTATTGGCAGCCGGAGCTTAAAAGTAAAACCCAAGATTCAGCAGTGAGTTCACTTGCCTGTAAACAGTCTCTGAAGCACAAAGTGAGGTTTTCCCAGAAACAATCTCATTTCTCCAGAGCCTCTCAAATCATTACCCAATCTCCGTGTGCGTTTCTGACTCTCCGCTTATTTGTACAAAGTATTGTTGAGACAAGGTCATGTAAACCAGTTCCACTTTGTCATCTCGGGGACTCTGTAGCTTTGGAGATCTGATGTTTTGGGAGAGTATGAATAATAACCGTAAGGAGTCAGTAATGCACATCTGCCTCACATTAATCCAGACCTCTCCTGCGGAGCTGACCTGCATTCCTGAGCTCTCCATCAGCTCCAGGGGCATTTATTTCATTCAGCCCTCCGCCAGCAGGTAAAGCGGCTCCGTCTCCGTCCACACATGGTTGGACGGATTAACGTCCTTTTAAAGGAACTTCCCCCACCGACTTGGTCGTCCAGAAACAGCTTGCAAAAATATTCATCTTTTTCCTTACTCCGTCACATTACATCCACAAAAGTGCATTTTATGTGATAGATTAGAAAAGTTGCACATGAATAGGAAGATTTTTTTTTTTTTGTAAGAAATTAATCTGCAGCATGATGCTGCCACCGGTAGTGGCAGCCAAAAAGGTCAAATTGATCTTATTTAGTATGTTTACTGAGCTTTCTGCTAGGGATGCATAATGTTATTGGTCAATATTAGCTGTGAAATTTAATATCAAACATTTCTTCAAAGTAACCGATATAAAAGGTGTTTTTATATAACAATGATGCCAGCAGCACAGCTCAATGTCTTGACAGTGGGAGAGCAGGACCAAGTGGAAATGTCAGTGATATGGAAGTTTTTCCAAAGTGTCGGAAACTGATAGCAGAGCTGCTATTTGCAATGACTGCTCAGCATCAATGATGCGAGGAGGAGCGACAACAAAGAGCTCCAACATGTCGAACCTAATTATTCATCTCAGGAACCGACATTACGATGAGTTCAAGGTGGCGAAACGGAAAAGAAAGAGAGCAGCTAACCAGCAGCAGTCCATCCCACAAGCTTTGGATAAACATCGGTATTTGTATCGGTTATCGGCCAATTTCAGGACATCGGCATATCGGATACGCTGGGACTGTGAATCCCAGCTCTCTACGTAACATGTGAATAACAAACTAAGCTTTTAGTTTTCCTGACAGGATGATTGACATTTGAGTTGTTAACATGTTGTCCCACCTGAGCTGAGGATCTCTGCAGCTCCTCCAGAGTTACCAAGCCCACCTCTCTAAATTAACACTCGCCGAGCAAGACGACTCTTAAAACTAATTCTGCGATTTCTGAATGAAATTTATTTAAAAGGATTTCATGTTACGGTGTCTGAGTAAAGGGGGGCTGAATACATTATTGACATTTCGCACTTTCCAGATTTTTGTTTGCAAAAAAAAAGGTTAGAGAAACATGAATCTATTTTTAAATGCTTTAGCATTATCAACAATGTAAATGCTGCAAATATTCTCACTCTAGCTTCTTCGAATCGGATTACAGCCTATAAGCCCAATCAGAATCCTGATAGATTCTCTAAATGTTTGTCTTGTTTTATTTCGTGTGTTTTTAATGTGAAATCGCAGACGCAACCCGTCTGGATCTCCATCCCAGCAGTCAACTCCCCTCAGCGCATCATGAGGGGACTTCAGTCGCAGATAAAGCACCAGCCATGCAGCGTTGGGTAATATATCTCCCGTGGAGGACCACACATAACAGCACAACCCTGTTGACGCCTGAGGCTTTGGCAAGCGCCCCGAAGCATCCTCCCCAGAGCCGCGACGCCTTCATCTGGCTGCAACATTTTCAATAATAACATTGCACAGCTCGTCCTCTGGGGACGCGCGTTGGGTTTTAATGGCGGCGTTTAAACGAGCCTGTCAATGCACTTGCCAAATGTACTCGCGTTCAGCGCAGGCTGTCAGGCAGGAAGGCAGGCAGGGGTCCTGCAGGCTGGAGAAGAGACAGGTCGGGCCGAAACCGAGACGGGATCTGGTTGTTTCTTATGGGGAAGGAGAGAGGAGCGGATTGGACTTCATTCTGGCAAACTATGTTAAAAAAAAGAAAAAAAAAGGAAAAGCGCGTCTGGCTGAGAGCGGCTGCAGACTGCAGGGAGCCACCAGGTTTCTAAAAGAAAAGTAGCAACACAACAAAAATAAGTAATTAAAATAAATCAAGCTTAGGTGTTTATTTATTTCCCGTGTTTTTAATTTATTTTTAAAAAGCTTTGATAATTGAATAATGTCCTGCTGCAGCATCACGATGAACATCTGGAGTTTAATTAAGATCTAAAGGCGCCATCCAGTCTAAGGCTGAATGAATGACGAACTGTAAATATCTAGAGCACATCTCCTCTCATAATGTGGTTTTAAAAATGCTTCTGCAAATAAAAACACAGATCGGTTTAAATGTGATTTCACGCACAGAGGGGTCGTTGTCTTCGCTCGGCTTTTGGAAGCAGAATCAGTAGTTTTAAGATTTATTTTTAAACGTAACTTTCTTAGAACAAAACAAGTCAGAAACTAATATTTTATAGTTGGTAGGAAGCCTGTTAACTGATCATCTGGGACTTTTACGGCCCATAAATCTTCCTTTCTTTTGGCTTGCGAAGCTCCTTGTAATAAATCCCTGCACATATTTTTTTATTTCATCTCAATTTCCAATTATAAAGGCTCTTCCTTTTTAATATCTATATTATCTTACCAAGTTAATTCCATCTGGGGATTTTTACATAATTAAAAAAATGCTGGGGTAGCAAATAAATTAGTCCATATGTCTTATTTATAAATTTCTTTATTTTTTAATTTTATTGGTTGGTTAACGATAATCCACAAAATGTGTCAGTGAAATTTAAAGGCAATAAAACCAAGCTTTCAGTTTGTTTATCTGCTGTTATTATTATGATGATTATTACTCTTGTTTTATCATAAACTTTTTATTCCATTTTATTTAACAAACCGCTGCTGCTGCTTTGCAACAGAAAAAAAGAACCAAAAACCACTCAAATGAAAATCAGAGTCAGTGAACGCAACACGCATAGAAATAATAGAAACATGGCCTGAATAACAAAAATAAAACAAAAATATCCTCAAACGGTCAAGTTTCACTTGATATCCTGTGTGCATTTGTGCACATCTTTTATGCAACAGCGCAATAAAATCAGAGAACAGCGCAACGTTTGAAATGGTTTTCCTCCATAACCTCATGAGGAGTTTCCGACCCAAACAGACCCACTAAAGCCTCCCCTGCAGAGGCCCAGGTGAATCTGTTCACCTGCCATCATTGCTGCTGTGTTTAGTGCAAATGTGAAGCGAACCCACCGTAGCAGGGGATGAGCGTCCCGTTGTGTCCGCTGTCCGGGTGCAGTTTGCCGCCTTCGGGTGGAGTCTTGCAGCTCGGCCGCTGCATGAAGAGCTGGTATTTGTTAAAGTTGCTCTCCTCGGCTCCGTCCAGTGACTGGCACTCTGTCTGGAAGGGACTCCGGGAGCCTTTACCCGGAATGAACGTGGGGCTGTATTTGGTTTCGGTGGTCTGGAAAGTCCTGAAAGGATTCGCCTGGTGGTCTCTGCTCTGCGCAGGAGACGCGCTGTAATAAGAGTCCATGGATGTCATGTCGCAGTATGAGACGCACGTATCTGCGTTCATACCGAAAAGGTTACAGTCAGAGGGGAGAAACAAGTCCAGACGCTTCTTCTTCTTCTTCTTCTTCTTCTTCCTTTCTCTTCTTCTCTTGCCCTCCCCTGCAGATCTTCTCTCCTAATTCTCATGCGCTGACAAAACTCACACTGACGCGCTCAGACGCGTTCACTCTCACGCTGAACGGCGCATCTGGGACTGGTTAGAAAAAAAGCGAATCAGATGTTTTCCAGAGACCTCAGACCGAACAAATGCTAAAAGCTCCCTGAAGGTTTGTCGGCTGGATGATGGGGGTGCAGGGAAGGGGGGGTGAGAGAAGGAGAAAAGCTGAAGCTGAAGCGGATTCCGCCGCATGCGGTAGCCCGGACGCAGCGCAGCGAAGCACTCCGACCTGCAGGCGGGTCTGAATGAGGCCCGAACCGACCCGCAGCCCGCCTGATGCGTTATTATGCAGCCAGTAGGGACGGGAGGTCAGGCTCCGGAGGGGGGTGGGGAGGCTTTTTTGGTAAACACGCGGGAGACGCAACACATGACATTAATGTAATTAGAAAATGAATAAAACAGCTTTGATTCCTGCGGCGCAGGAACCTCCATAACCTCTGACTTTCTTTTTTATGCTTATGCGTGTGCAGATATTTAAATACGTCACACATTTTGACTTAACTACTTTATTTAAGTCACAACAAATGTGAAAGATTTACCCATAATTGTTTTCATTTGCAAAATTGCGACAGTGAGGAATAAAATGGCTGCACAGTGAGGAGCAGGAGAATCGTCTCAGTTTTCACTCAACATGGAATCAATAATAAGTCATTAACATCTATTTTGGTCGCCCATAAACCGCCTGCATTGTAAACCGTTTATTGTTAAAATAACTGCAACACACTGGCAACAGTCACCCACTGTCTTTGTATTACATGTTTACATTTAGCTGAATAAAGGCTTTATTGTAAAAAACAAAAAAACACCAGTTATTTGTGCAAACTTCTATTATTGCGCTAAAAAAATGACTAACCTTTGAAAAAAGTTAACTTAAAAATATTCCAGATTTCATTTTATAACAGCTGTTTTTTTTATTCCTGTCAATGTGATTAAAACGTGAATATAAGTGTGGATTAACACAGAACTGCTCACAATCCTGTATGTGGCACACACAAACACTGTTCAAACTGTAAAACAAAAACTGTTGCGATCATTTCACTGTTAAAACAACAAACACACGGACAGTTTGCGCTGTCGCAAGTTGACCAAAAAGACGCAGCGGGAGAAATTTGCGCAGTTTTGTAACAGCCGGAGAACAAGACGGGCCTCATGGATGCGTCAACAGCTTCCCTGCAGGCAGGAGAGGCGCTCCTGCAAGCTTTAACGACACGAATCTATGCTAATAATAATAATAATAATAATAATAATAATAATAATAATAATAATAATAATAATAATAATTAGTAGTAGTAGTTGTTGAGGTCGTTCATCCAAATAAATCCGCGTAAATAAATGTGCATAAATTAGAATAATTTTCCCTCTTACGTCTCTTATGATTAATTCTCTACAATCTCACTATGATATTCTGGGTTCATATGTTCATCATGTTTATTTTAATTAATATAATCAGTGCGCTTATAAAGTCCATATAAATTGTACTTCAATGATTTTTTAAAATTAATTTTGCTGCTCTTTTGGTCCTTTTTCTGAATTTATGGACGTGACTCTTAAAGACTGAACTGAAGTGAATTTCCATAATTAGCGCGTCAATTAGGACGCGGGTTGTTGAGTCACAGCTTGTGAAGTTTCCCTACATGCTATTATTATTATTATTCGTTTCTTTCTGGCAGTTTTACGCACACAGAGCTTCCTAACACGAGGTCTGCCCTTTTCTCCAAGAAGTGAACCCTGATTCAGACTCTCCTCCACATGGATCCTCCTTTAATGGTTCACCAGCTGATATTTTCTGGATTGCGCATCTGTAACAAAGACGTTATGAAATTTACTTCAGCTTCTGAACGTTTACAGAGCCACTCGTTTATTTTAATAAATCGAAAAGACCTAAAATGAGTCATTTTTCTCTGATTTTTATTCGTTGTTTTAATCATATCGTTATAATTGGCTTGCATTTAAAAATCTTGAGCTTACAATAATGAACATTATTAATTTATTTGTAAGTTTACTGCATGTTTGGTCGTTTTCTCACCTAAATCAAATTTCTTTGATTTCTAAATATATATTTTTCACTTATGTTTGAATGCATTTTAAGCTGATTTAAATGTTGCACTATACAAAAAAAAAACATCTCTAACTTGCGGTAAAATCCCCGCAGCCACAATATTATCGTACTTAAACGATACATACACGATAAAATTCAGGGATTTTATTGTATACATTCCAAGAAAATTGCACCGTATAAATAAGGATTTTATCTTAAAATTATTGCACCATATTTTACCCTAAAGAAGAGAATTATTATTATTATTATTATTATTATTATTATTATTATTATTATTATTATTATTATTATTATTATTATTATTATTATTATTTTTGTTGTTGTTGTTTTACGGTATTGAATAAACAAACAAAAATATGTTAATTTTTGTCTTATTTTATTTTTTGATCGTGTAGTTTGAAATAAAAGTTAAAACAAAGAAAAAAAGATGTTATTTCTCCTCTTTCATTCTGAACCTGTGTAGCAGTTTTAGCTGATGTCGCGTCCCAATTAGGAAGCTGGACAGAAAAAGCTTTTACGCAGCTAAAGTAAACAGGGGCGATCTGTCTCCCCATAAATAAATGTCTGCCTCCCTTAATGTTAATGTGAGCCACCGGCTGCCACAGGCCGAGGCTCAGCTGTCAGACAGGCTGCAGCTCTGCATCACTTCCAGCTGGAAACATGAGCAGCTGAGGGGCTTCATGTAAACACTGAAGGCTGCTGAAGCACTCTGCTCTGAGAACAACTCAGCAAAAACTTGATCATGGCGGAGATCTGGACGTGGAGTTTCTCTGTGCTCCGATAAGGATGGAAACGACAGTGAAGGATTCATAAAGCAGCTGAGATGATCCAGTTACTGGCCTGAAATGTCACAGCTGAAGATTACATCTGCTGAAACCAGAGTCTAAATCAGGGCTGATTTTTCATTCTTATCTAATTGTTTCATAAAAAAAATTAAAAAAAACACCCAACATTTCAAATGTTGAATTGTGAAGGCTTTGCAGAATAGATAACGAGGTAAAAGTGGATTTACGTAGGTTTTAAACAGTAACACAGCAGTTCCTTCCCTTATCTTCTCACTTCATAATTGCAGTAATTTGTTCAATAATCTAATAAAGATGGAGAGTGTATCCTCCAGCACCACAAGAAAGGTTTACTTGTTGAGCTAATCTCCAAAAAGCATCAATTTTCAGCTTCAAAATTTCTTAAAAATATTGATCCTCTAATAATAGAACAATGGAAATGTAAAACAAGCCAGAATCACCAACAATACACATCTAGAATCAGACTAAAGACGAGCAGCTTCAGTTAGGATGGTTTCAAATTCAGACACAGATATTGTTTATATTGTTCATGTTTGCATCGTTGATTCCAGGGATAACAAGAATGACAGGAAACAACATTTGTACCAGTGTGTTCAAGGCAAAGTTACGAAAGAATATAATAATTAATTATAATTATAATAACTTTATTTGATCAGAGGTCTCACTTTGGAATAAAGTTTAAAGAAAAAGTCAAAATTTAGAAGTAAAACTCGGAACTCTGGTTCTTTGCTCATAATTCTAAAATCAGAATTCAAAATTTCTCAGAATTCTTAGGATTTTGAGAAAGAATTCAGGTTTTTATTTATTTTTAGTTTTTTTTAGTGGCCCTTATCCTCTACAGAAAATTAGGCCTTATTTAATAAATTAAGCTCCTAGGTTTTCACTTGTCCTTTGGTTACGTTAAAGAGGACTAATGGCTGTTTTCTGTGTTTTCTTGAAACAGAATTTTTATTTTTTATTTTTTACAAAAACTCCAATTTGTCTACAGGAAAACGTTCAGCTAGTTGTTCAGCAACAGGTGGAGGAGGGGCAGCAGAGAGTGATTTCCCCCCCCCCCCCAAAACCAGAAAAATCCTCTTTGTTTTCTCATCAGAATAACTTTTTGTCTTCTGACAGACAAACGTTTTCAGGTGCATGTTGTTGAAGTTGCTCATGTCCTGAACATGTCGCCTTTCTTCACCTTTTCGTTAAAGTGACGAAGTTCACATTGTTCTGCGTTAGCGGAGCAGATCAGGGTTGAGGCTGCTGAGTTTTTCGGCAGGTACGTTGCTCCCACAGAGCAGCGCTGTGATGTCCTCCGCGTGGCTTGGAGAGTGAAAGGGAGACCAGATTTATTTTCTGTCTTTTTATTGCGTAGGTTTAAATGACTTTCACATGAGCGGGGCACACACTGCATCAGCAGATTCTCTGATCAAATTAAGCAGCGATGAGGGGAGAGGAGGAAAAAAAGGAAAGAGGCAGTGGTTGTACTGATGTTTAATTCAATAAACAGAACCAAGAGGAGCAGACAGAAGGGACGCTGTGCTGCCGTCAGCCCTCGACTCTTTATCTGGACCCAGGAGAGAGAAACAAATGTTCACTGATGCAGCAGAATGCAGACGCCTGAAGCTGATGCTCTTTACCAGCGTAAAGAAACTGTTTCTATCCCTCTCTTAATGCAGCATGTTGATATAATTTTAAGTCATTTAAAATCAACATTTCTCTAATTCTAGTACTAGTTTTATGGGCAATTGTTTATTTTTATGAAGTAAAATTGGCTTATTAAAGTTCATTAATGCCATTGAAATGTCTTTGGGTGCAGATTAAGGTAATTTAATGTCACATTTTAACAGGTTTTCTTCATTTTAGTGTTTTCAAACCTGTAATTTGTGGTGCTCAAAGCATGAAAGGTGCAAATAAAAAAACAAAACAAAACACTAACTGATTAAAGGCCAAATTTACAGAGTAAATTAATAACCATTGCACTGCTCTAGTTCTTTTCAAAATTTGTGGAGGTGGAAGTATTATCTGAAAGTAATCAGAATATTGTTTAAAAATGGTATTAAAACATTATTATGTTTATCTAGCAATAGTTTAATAAGAGTAAACAGTAAGTTTTGTTTCCTATTTGTCAGTCTGTGCTTTGGTAATTTAAAACTATAGAGCCATTAGAGAAAAGTTACTATATTTCTACCACTCAATGTTTAATTTTATTGTATTTTAAATAGATTGTTTTTATGATAAAGTAATTTTATACAGAAATTTGACTTTGTGATTTAACTCCTTAAAATTGGGCCTCTGTCTCTTTAAGAAACTCCAGCTCTTTCTGAAACTACGCCTTCACGAAGTCATCTCAACATGGCTCCTCTTTTAACCCTTTAAGAACATTTTTACCAGGG